ACCCAAAGGCTCTTTTCAGAGCCACCCACGTTTTCCCATAAAAGGCTGTGCACTGACCAGTCCTGGGGCTGAGCCTTGGGGCCAACGTTCCGGAGGGCGTCCCCGCCCCCTCGTGTGTCCCCCCTCCCTTGGCTGCCCTGCCCCGCTTGGACCCCGGGAGTGCAGCCCAGTGGGGCTGAGACCCAGCGCGCGCTCACCTTTTACAATTTCCCCGTCGGCTGGAGGCGCAGCTCTCCGTGCGGCTTCCATCTGGCCCGCGGCGCCTCGGATGACACGTCATCACTGGGCGCCAAAGGGCCTCGCCAGCGTTTGAAAAGCCCGCGCTAGACGCGGCGGGGCCTCTAGGTGTCGCTGCGGCGCTAATTCCTCCCGCCCCCTCCCTGGGCCTGGGCGTTCGGGACCTCGCCCGGCGCTATCTCTCCGGGTCTTTAGAGACGCGTTGGGCGCCTGCCGCGCTCCGGGGAGAGCCGTGGTTACGGCACCTGCTTCCATCTCCTTGATCTTTTAGGAAGGCGCTCAGAGTTAGGTTTGTCTTTATTTAATGGCAAAGCACACAATCCCTTCCGCACTTCCGACTCGTCCCACGAACCAGACTTGCACCACAGTCCCCAGGACGCGGTCTCCTCACCAGGTTTCCTGTCTGCAGCCTCCAGCGCGCCCGCCTGGTCAGGAGGAGAGGGGCCCGGGCCAGTCTGGACGTGGAGGGGAAGTAGTAATGTGGGAATAGAAAATGCTTGTCTATGCTTTTCTTTAAAATACATATACATACACATTACTTGAGCCAAGCCGAGCAGATATGCCGGGTTAAACGTCCATGCGCTGGGCACTCGGGTCTGGAAGCCTATGGTCTGTGAACTAGTGATGCTGAGCAGACTGCACCCCAGAAAACACCGCGACTTCCCTTCACTCATTTAGCTGGAATCCGGCAGGGGGTTACTTCTGGGAGTGACAAGGGGCACGACAGCCCAGGTTAATGCAGTAAGAAGTGGCATCGCTGTCATTTGAGAAACACTCCGTTCTATACACGCTTCCCGCCACCACTTAATATCAAAATGGCGAACTAGCATTGCCATTGGCTCAGTGGGTAGGGCTTCAGCCATCTGACTGAAGGGAATGGGTTCGACGCCCGGGGTGCAGGGATCCCCACATCACTGCTCCTAACTCCCCCCAAGAAACTCAGAGGGAAACATTCGCAGGTGAAACAAGTTACAAGCCTGTGACTACCTGAACCGCCGCAAAGACAAGGCACTGCAATGAAAAGTAAAGCCACAGCTCTTTCAAAGGAACGGATGGGTGGCCCTAAAAAGGGCCGTTGGTTTTGCTGAAGAAGCCAGTAGGTGGGTGGCTCAGCCGCCGAAGCCGTAGAGGGTGCGGCCCTGGCGCTTGAGCGCGTAGACCACGTCCATGGCCGTGACCGTCTTGCGCTTGGCGTGCTCCGTGTAGGTGACGGCGTCGCGGATCACGTTCTCCAGGAAGACCTTGAGCACCCCGCGCGTCTCCTCGTAGATGAGCCCGGAGATGCGCTTGACGCCGCCGCGCCGCGCCAGGCGCCGGATGGCGGGCTTGGTGATGCCCTGGATGTTGTCGCGCAGCACCTTGCGGTGGCGCTTGGCGCCGCCCTTGCCCAGGCCCTTCCCGCCTTTGCCGCGACCGGACATGGTGACAGAGCAGAAGTCAGAGACGTCTGTCCCCGCGCTGGCGGCTGCAGCCTCTTAAATAACCAGGGGGCGGGCCTCATTGGAGCAGAGGGACCGGAAGAGGCGGGAAACCGCCCGAGTCCCGCCCCCGCTGCTGGAGCTCAGGGAGCGCGGGGCAGGTTTTCTGATGTTTAGAAAGTAAATTCCGACCAGGAGCGTCCACCGTGCACCCGAGAGAAACCAGTCCGCTTGGAGGCGTGCCCATCCCACGCGCATTCCTGGGTCACCCCACCCTGGAAAGAAACAAGCACAAACCCCCAAAACAAGAGAATTGGTAAAAGGGCCAAGCAGCCCACCGGCTTTGGCTTCGGAAGCCACGAGCGGCCGCTCTCAGGCGGTTATGGGGCCTGTTTGCCAAACTGGGTCTCGGTGGCCTTCTCCACACACGGAAAAACACTCGTCAGTCCGTCAGTAATTGAGTTATTGTAGGAAACATGTCTGGCTGATAGTCCTTTCACAGACAACTCATGTCCCCCAGACTTCTGTTTTTAAGGCAGAATATTTCTAATACAGGCAGCACTAAAGCACAAGGCAGGGTTCCAGGGCATTTCCAGCCTAACCCGAGCATGGGAAGTGCTTCCATTTAAACAAGTTGAGAGCTCATGCTTAAACAATGGGGGTCCCGCAGGGAAAGGATGTGGATTCCAGGGGCTGACGCCCTGTTCTCTGGCCTAAGGCAGAGGGTGGAGGGGTGCCCGCCCTTCCCTGGGGCTGGCTCATCCAATTCCAGGAAAGCTGTCATAAACGCTGAAGCTAAGGAAAGGAATTGTACGCAAGTGACAGTGATAAAGATGCAGCCATTCCTGGAGGTTTGCGTTGTCTTTAAAAATTGCTGAGCTACTACATGAGAGCGTTAAGATATAAATGATGCCCTTAGAATACAACAGAATCTTCAAAGCAAGAGATGGTTGTTACTGTGAAAAAAGTAAAGGAAATTCAACAGAGTAAATTTGAGAATCTAATTGGCTTTATTACTCAATTCGTGAATCAGGCAGCACCCCAACTACAGCTAGAAAGGTGCTCAGAGGGGTGGTACCAAATGGACATTTTTTTATAGGAACAAGGAAGGGGCAAGAGAGCTATTAACAAAAGAAAAGAAAAGAAAGGATTTCTCTTGGGCCCAGGCATCTTCTGTTTGGGGGAGGAGAGTGAGAGGACTTTATCACGCAGATTGCCTCCTCCCTCTAAAGCAGTGGCTCCCAACCTTTTGTGGCCACGCCCCACCTAAGCATCTCTAAAATCTTAATGCCCACCCCCCCACACACACACACATATACTTCTTAGTATTCAAAAAGTGAGCTCCTATTCACACGGAGGAAGCCTAAAAGGCCATGAACTTGGTCTAAACAAGCTTCCAAAGAACATGGCATCCATGAAAGAGAAAAAATAAAAGAACAAAAGGACAGTTTGAAGTACAGAGAAAGAAATCACTAAGAAATTGTTTAAAAAATAATAATATGAAGTGATATGAAAAAATAGCAAATTTTTTAAACAGAGAGCTGAAATGCATAATATGTCACAATATATATTTATATACTGTATATGAGGCCCCTAAAACCTAAGAGATGCAAAAAAATCACTGTTAAGAACTCATTCTCCAATGGCCCCCCGTGGGGTGCGTGCCCCACTTTGGGAACCACTGCTCTAAGCGAGTGGAAGGGGCCCACGTGACTGATTCCCTTATTACTGCTTCAACAGAAAATTCCCCAGGGGTTGATTAAAATTACATTTCAAGGAGAGGTTGAAACTGCAGTTAGATCAGGTGTTAAATCCAGGTTTGGAATCCGGTGTTTAGCTTGTGCAATAACTGCATTTTTTGTCCTTTAACATCATACAGTTAGGATGTCCCAAGCACACTGCCCTAAACACCATGGATCAACTCAACCAAGTTCCCCATCAGAAAATTTGACACTACAAATATCAAACCTTGAAACTGTTTAGAGGTCGGAGCAGCAATATCTCCAAAATCACATACCAACATAAAGGAACTAAATCTAAGCCAGATGGATATGTCGCCACTAGAACAGCCAGGAAAAAAAAAAAAAAAACCCTCTGTTGTTCACATGAAAAAAAAAAAAACACACACACACACACATTGATTTGTTAAGCAAGGCATAGAATCCTAAGCAATACAAAGTAGCAACTGCCCAAAAAAATTGGTACAGATTTTTTTTTTTACAACCTTAATTTAAAATACAGTCCCCAAGCCCAGTTTCACCTAATGGAGACATCCTATATCGTTATAATATCAAAACCAGTAATGGATATTGGCAAATTACTGTCAACTCTAGACTACAGGCCTGATTCAGTCCTCAGTGGTTTTACATGCGCTCATTTGGCCATGTGTGTAGATAGCCCTGTATAGTGGTGTAACCACCACCATGATGTAGACACAACACTTCCACCATCACCAAGGAACTCCTTATGTTCCCCCTCTGTAGGCCCATTCACCCACCTCTCCCGTGCCCTGGAGCAATCACCAATTTGTTATCCATCTCTGGCTTTGCCATTTGGAGAATGCTCCGTGAAATGGAATCATACAATACGTAACCTTGAAATAGGCTCTTTAGCCCGGCTGGTGTGGCTCAGTGGTTGAGCATCAA